GTGTATATTGTCTAAATGGTTTTAGACATAGCAAAGGGTTGCTGTAACGTTCATGAGTGCTTATGAACTAGTTTTGAGCATTGGAACAAACCCGCGCTTGCTGGAATCACCTTATGGAATGTGATATAAAAGGTGACCACAAGACGATAATATCATGTAGTTTTAAAACCTAGATATATGGTTTGTTATTTGTTAATTGACTGTACATTGATAATGCGAAAATGCATCAGTAACTCGGTGTTATAAAACACATTGTTGTGTATAGTTGATTAATGAATAAGTAAATGCATATAAGTCAAAGTTTATCTGCAACTTTTATCCTAAGAGGGTAAAAGCAATATCTCGGCCGCTCGATGATTTGATTTGACTTATGTGCCGGGCCCGGTCAGAACTGAATTGATGTGTTCGATTAAGTTCTATGTCAAATAAATCAGAGATCAAGAAACCAAATGCTAGACTAATTATTCCATAGAATTGTCAGCATGATATCTAACAGAGGATTGTACGATCCCTTATCTAAAGGACAAGATTGATTAGATCAGAGTTTGACAGTGTCTTTGAGAGTTACGACTGCAAACCGGATTGTACTTGTGCATATAGTTACTAGACTTATCCAAGTGGGAGACTGTTGGAATAGTGTCTAAGGCTGCAACTATATTAGGCAAGTATTTGACCCGATTGTGCATGGTCCTTTTGGGTTACCTTCACCATAGCAACTTGACAGGGTGATTTATTATGAGAGAATAAATATTATTAATATATTATGAGAATAATATAAGGAATAATAATATTATTATTTGATTAATATAAGTCATAAATTAATTAGGAATTAATTTGGTGACTTAAAGAGATTAATTAAATAAGAGGGTATAAACTGTCAATTGTTTGATAGTTACACTGTGGGCTGTAAATCCTTCATGGATAGGATTGGACGATTTCTAGGGCATGGGATAAGCCACAAATCATCCAATGGCTTATCTTGGAAAGGATTTAGATTGCTTTGAGTAAAAGTTATCCAATTAGGGTTTAAGGGTGAAACCCTAGGAGCCTTACAAGTATAAATAGAACTCTTGGGGGTGGGGAAATCGACACCTGTGTCTTTGGAAGAACCCTGTCTGATTTTTGTCCTCTCACCTCTTTCTCAAATCATCCTCCTTGCTAGTTAGTGTTTGTAAGCCATTAGAGGAGTGACATTTGTGACTCTAGAGCTCCAAGAACAAGAAGATCAAACAAGTGTTTCAAGGTAAACTTCTAACTCTGATTTTGTATTGTTCTTATACCTTATTAGCCATTAGAAGTCTTGGATGCAATGCATATTTAATTAGAGAAACCTAGATCCAAGCATTAGGGTTTGCATGTGCACATTGGAATGTTCATATGGCCAAAACCCATCACCCTTATCTAATGGACAAGTTCGTTGACAAGATCAGAGTTCGACAATGGCTTTAAGAGCTACGATTGCCAGTTAGGTTTTGAAGTCATACTTAATAATAGTTTTAGAGTTATCCAAGTGGGAGGCTATTGGATTAATGTCTAAGTCCATAACTATATTTGGTATGTACTTGACCCGACTTGGCATGGTCCATTTGGGTTGCACTTCACTGACACAATGTATATGGATAGTCTTTTGAGAATAGTATATTTATGATTTATATTAGTATATTATAAGTTCTAATATATTAATAAGGAATCATATTATTTAATTAGTATTGATCAAGACTTAATTAAGAATTAGTTAAGTGATCAAAATGAACTAATTAAATATGGACTCTTATATATATGGAATGGGCCAAGTTCATTTAGGTTGGGCTAAGCTTTCATGGATAGTCCATGGAGTCCTTAACCCATGGATCATATGAAATGAAAGGTCATGGGTTTAACCCTAGTCTCCATACTATATAAAGATGTCCTTGGTTGTTGAAATTGGCACTAGTGTGGGTACACTATGAAGGGCTAGCCGATTTCACTAAAGAGAACCAAGTATCAATATTCTCTAAAGTCTTCCAAGGTGTTTTGGTGATTTGTGATTCCACTTGAGGCTTCCACACTATTGGGGTTAGGCTCTTAAAGCTTGAAGACATCAAGCTACATCAAAAGGTATGTCATCTAACTAGTACTTTGTAGTATAAGAACTTAATAATATGCTAGTTAGGATTAAAGCCTTGGAAAGATCTTATTTGCATGTATAATAGAGAAAACATAAATCCAAGGTATTTAGGGTTGCATGTACAATTAGGAGTGTTAGAATGCTCAAAACCCAACAGAAAGTACACACATATAAGGCAAGGCTGGTTGCGAAGGGCTTTACTCAAACTCCAGGAGTTGACTATGATGAGATCTTCTCGCCGGTAGCGAAGATTAAACCTATTAGGGTTATGCTATCCATAGCTGCTTTTCATGACTATGAAATGTGGCAAATGGATGTCAAAACCGCTTTTCTTAATGGGAAGTTGGCTGAAGATGTTTACATAAGTCAGCCAGAAGGTTTTGTCAATGCAAAGTACCCTAATAGAGTGTGTAAGCTTGAGAAATCAATTTATGGATTAAAACAAGCATCTGGAAGATGGGATCTTTGTTTCGATGAGAAAGTTAAAGAGTTTGGATTTTCGAGAAGCGAGGATGAGTCCTGTGTATATGTCAAGGCTAGTGGGAGTATAGTTAGCTTTCTGGTGTTGTATGTGGATGACATACTTCTCAAAGGAAATGACATCCCGACCTTGTAGGGGGTTAAATCCTGGCTTGTGAAGTGTTTCGCTATGATGGACCTCAGAGAAGCTGCTTATATTCTTGAGATAAGGATATTAAGAAACAGGAGTAAAAGACTAGTTGGACTTAGTCAAAGTACCTACTTGGAAAAGGTGTTGAAGCGTTTGAACGTGGAGAATTCCAAGAAAAGGGAATTACCTATCCAAAGCAAGTAATAATTAGAGTCCGAGTACAGAGGCAGAGATATCAGAGATGAGCCGAGTACCATATGCTTCCGCAGTCTGCTTGATCATGTATGTTATGACGTGTACTCGCCGTGATGTGGCTTTTGCTTTGAACATGGTCAATAGATATCAAGGGAATCCTGGTAAGGCTCATTAGACTATGATAAAGAACATTCTTAACTACCTGCGGAGGACTAAGGATTGGTTCCTTACCCTCGGTGGGAGTGATGACTTGAGAGTGAAGGGTATAGTGATGCCAACTTTCAGACTGTAAGTCCCAAATCTAATGATCCAATTTAGTAATCAATGAAGTTAATTATAATAAAAAGAGATGTAGAAGAAGAAGAATTAAAAACAAGCATGCACACATTTATATTCAATAAATGTCAGGTACATCTTAAGAGAAATACAACTGCAACCAAGTTCTGACACCAACAAAAATCAGTACTATCTGACACATCTCAGAAGCTATATATAGTACCCCTCACACCAAGAATATGAGAGTGCTGCCAAATAGATGTGTGCTGGCGCACACACCGTGTGCGGCCGCACACACATATGTGGCATCACACATTACACTACAGCTCACAGACACATAAATAAAGACACTATCATCTATACATAATGATGCCTAGCTCAAACCATAAAAATATGTTCTTTCAGTCTCCCCCTTGGTTTGAGACTAGCATGGTCTTGTCTTTACTCCTTTGGCTCCTCAGCGGGCTTCTCAAACAACCTCAGATCTGATCTCCCCATTGAACCCATCCACATTCTTCCATTTATAATTATAGCTACCATTGCAGTGAATTCTTTAGCAGCAGCCTCCATGACATCCTTTCTGCAAATGATTTGATGACGGGCCAAAGTTCGTATATCTTTTTCTCTGAAGCGTAGAAGATCTTTAGAACTAATCAATCTCAGAGTATGTTCTCGATTCTTGAATTTGATGGCTGCAGTGGCTGTTTCGTCATCATATGCCCAAAATTCCATGTCATCTAGATATCCCTCATGAAAGTGTTGAGGAATAGGAATTTCCTTCTGTTTCTTAGTTGCAGGCCAAAGTATAATCTTCATGGGTTCGCCTGTTTCTGGATCAAGAACATCTTTGTCCTTTTTGTATAGATCTTTGGTAGTTTTCATTGAAGGAAAGTTCTCTTTGACCTGTCTGTCAAGGAATCTTTTGAAATTTGAAGCATTTTGATCTTCAGAGGGGTTATGGAATGGAGCCCTGGATAATTCAGCTAGATCAGTTTTGCTCCAGGAGTTGAAATCATGGGTGCTTTTGTAACATTCAGAAGCTCATGATTTTCGCTTTACCACCCACAAATTCATCACTGGATCAAAGGCCCACATTCGGATGCCTGTTCTGTCACCGTATTGATCACCAAACTTCCTTTTCCTCAAATCTGTTACTGTCAAGACAGGGTCTTTTGTTTTGCGATTTTCATTAGAGTTTTTCATGAATAAAAGGCCTTCGCTATGTTTTGTGACTCTTTGCCCTGCTTGATTGTAATTCTCGCTCTGCTACCTTCAAGTTCCTTTTCAAATCTGTCTACAATGGTAGTTGTTCTTGGAACAGGTGGGTCAACAGGTAGATCATTAGTTGCAAGAGGTGATTGAACATAAGGAGGATCATCTACTCCGTGAGGCCATTGGAAAAGGGCTTTGACTTTATCACCAAAGGCATCGTACAATACGTTCTTGAGATTGAAATAGTTTGCTAGAACAGAACCGAGACTCGTTTGTAGATCCTTGATTTGTTTGGTCTTTTCTTCATCTTTTGCCCTGAGCTCAAAAATATGTGCAGAAAGCCGATCCATCTGAATAGATTTTTCAATGAGCTATTGATGGAGGATTCCAACTTCTTCTCGCAGATCAGATGAAGAAGATCTGTGATCATTTGTCCGTCCCTCATTAAATGATATTCCTTTTCCGCGTGACGAGGTTGGACTAGATTGAGCTAAATGTTTTACTAATCTGATAGATGCTTCATCAAGAGAAGGTCGTGTTGGGGAATATTCTGGAATAGAAGAAGATCCACCAGTCTCGAACATGGTGCTTGGACCTTCATCAGTCTGTTTTGAAGGAGAGTGAGCAGTGGTTGTAGTGATTATTGAGATAATTTGAGGAGCACTTTTCACATAGGAGATTGGCTTGTTCTAATGGAGGTATGGGAAGTCTGAGGTTCAGATATCCTTGACTTGCTGTGATTTCCAAGGGCTTGGAGGAGGTGAGCAGAATTTTGAGAGAATTTCCTTCACTTCTAGTCTTGGTTGCTAGAGAAGCAACTTCATTGACTTTATTTGCATGGCTGCTGGGAGTATCCAGAAAGGGATCAAAATCTTCATCACCAAAATCAAACTCGATGTTTGTTGGAATATCATCATTGATTCCTGTAAAGTCGATTTCTTTCAAATACTCTACATCTTCATAAAGATCATCGTCGTCATCCCCTCGAGAAGATATTGAATCACTTGCTTTCTGATGATCATGCTCATCAGCAACACAAGCTGTGGGAGAGTGATGAATCTCCTCCACTACAGGCTCAGAGGGAGAATTATGAGTGTATTCATCTTCTATCGGCATGCATTTATCTGCTGCTTCTTCTCTGTTATCCTCTTTAAAAATTCCAAATTTTATTAAAGGAAATTTTCCTTAAAATACAAATTTTCCGCCTCTCCAAAGGCACTTGGACCAATGGATTTGAAATCCAGAGTATCATTTCCTCTCTGCAACTCGGGGTGAGTTACGTTAAGGATGATTTGAAGGAATCTTGGATACATGCAAAATTTTTCTCTTTTGCTTCCTTCAATATTCAGTATCATTTCATTCAAAATGAATTTTGAGAAATTAAACTCAAAACCTGCTGCCAATGCAACAATGGCACCAGTATTGGCTAGAGAAATCTTGTTAGCTCCTGATCTCCAGCCAGAAACGCAACTCACGAACACATGAGCTAAAAGTTTCCAGCATGGCGGAAGCAGCTTTGATTGTAGGAGGAAAAGTTCCTTCGTGTCCCATATGTTCCAAAATTTTCTCAATTTGATGGACTTCAATTTCCATGAGGTACTCAGGTCTGTCCTCAATTTGAAGAGATTCTCTGATGATGCTTTCTGTACTAGACGTTTCTTGTCTTCAATTGTTGTTTCCAGAAATTTTTCGCCTCGATCATTCTTCTTTACTTCAGCATTTCTCTAGAAATCCTTAATTAAGCTTTGGTAGATGGTAGGGTTTGTAGATAAGCAATGAACCAGGCATGATTTCTTCAAACCATCCACAATGTTTTCAAGTCACTATGGGCTGCAGGAGGATCTTCAAGAAAAATTGCAGAATTATGAGCTTTAGCAAACTCCAGGTCTCCCATTTTAATCACGTGAACAACTTGATTTCACAACAATTTTAATGGAAATTTAAACGATTTTGAGAAAGTTTTATGAGTGTGCGGTTGGAGCTTAAATAGAGAATGAGAGAAAGACACCCCACACACATTCCTTTTATATGTGAGAATTTTTCACTTTTTCCCCCTGATCCTTTAATTATTTATCCAAAAACCCTTTCACTTCATAATTTTCAAAAACAAATTATTTTGAGGATTAATAGAATTTTAATTTCAAAGATTTAATGAAAAATTTAAGATAAAATAAAAATAAAAAATAAAATAAAAAATAAAAATAAAAATAAAATAAAATAAAATAAAATGAGATTTAAAAATCTATTGACGACAAGAATCAATTTAAACCGATATAAATTGCTTTAACCTGTTGAGGATTAGGGATCAAAGTTTTTAGACGACCATTATCCGCTTGTCGGTACCTTTCATATTCACATATTTGTCTGGTCGATTGTCGGTATTGTTATCCATTTAAACACGAAAAAAACTGTGACAAAAAATAGGACATACTGCAAGTGACAAGAAAATGTGATCTTGAAATTTCTAGATATTATATCTGATCCTAAGTTTCTAGATCTTACAATATCGTAAGGACAATTAGCTAACGACGACCAGGGATATTGTTGTCCACCTAAATTGAGCAGCGAGATCTATAGACAATCTTTGAGTGTTTAATTTTAATTGTACTGGAACATGTTTCCCGCTTCCAGATATGCCCCAGTAATCAAGGACTTCCAGAGTACTCCTTACATCGGATGAGCATACCATCATTAGGGGAGAAGATAGATTCAGAGTATTATCACTTATAGTGCATATGCTGTGTACCGGGTCGGATTGTTAGTCACGCAAAGGAGACAACATATGGCTAACAGATAAGAGAATTTCATATGTATATATATATATATATATATATATATATATATATATATATATATATAATATGCAGAGAAATAGAGTTGCATATGTTACAGTCCAAGTCGGATCTCTTTCAATCACGCAGAGGAGGCAACATATGACTAACAGATAGAAAGAAAGAAAATGATTTTCTACAGACCTAATTTATCGGAATTTACCAGTTGCCCCATCAATACCGGAATTAAGTACAAAATCCGCACATGGAGGAAAAGTTAAACCATGGTTCTAGATACGGGTTCATTTAATATGACGAGTAGATTCTCATATATATATATATATATATATATATATATATATATATATATATATATATATATATATATATATATCTCCCTGCTCAACCTATCCGAGCATCGTATCGTTAGGCTAAACGGAACTATCTAGGTCAAGATTTGTCAAGTCATTTGATTTCCTAAGTTCAATTCTGCCTAGTCATGTCCATTTAGAATCTTTCGTGCCTACCGACACATCGAACCAAAGCATAGACCCTTCAACTTTGGGTACGTTACACAGACTCAGGTTGCCTGTTATCACATGATCATATCACTTCCCTGAACATTTCCCTCAAACATATTTTCTAATTTTTAATGTTTTTGGATTTTTTTTTAATGTTTTTGGACTTTCTATATTTTTTTTAATGTTTTTGGTTTTTCTATTTTTTAATGTTTTTGGATTTTCTCCCCCTAAATTTGTGCATAAAAAAATGAAATAAAATGCACAAATTTATTTAAAAATTAAAAAAATTAATCCTCAAAACGAATCATTTTTAGAAAATTAACCAGCACATCGAATCGAGCTTTGTTAAAAGGCTTGGTGCACAGATCTACTACATTATTATCAGAGCGGACCTGTTCTAGCCGAATGAGCGAACGTTCATAACATTCTCGAATAAAATGAATTTTAATGTCGATGCGCTTGGTTTTTGAGTGCTGGACCGGGTTTTTGGCAATTTGAATCGCAACCTCATTGTTACAAAAAATAGGGGTTTCTTGAAAATTCAAACCGTAGTCCAACAATTGATGTTGGATCCAGATGACTTGAGAACAACAAGCAGATGCAACAACATATTCCGCTTCTGCTGTTGAGGTTGAGACTGTGTGCTGCTTCTTGCACTGCCATGACACCAATCTATCTCCCAAAAATTGGCATCCTCCTAAAGTCGATTTTCTATCAAGCTCACACCCACCATAATTGCTGTCTGCAAAAGCATAAAGATCAAGTTCGGGATTTTTCGGATACCAAAGACCCAGTTTTGGGCACCCTTTGAGATACCGAAAAATCCTTTTAACAACAATTAAATGAGAGAGTTTAGGATTAACCTGGTAGCGAGCACATTGACAGACCGCGAACATGACGTCTGGGCGACTAGCAGTAAGATACATGAGTGATCCGATCATTGATTGATAATGAGTTTGATCTACGGATTCACCCTCAAGATCAGGAGTCAGAAGAGGTCGTTCTGCCATGGGTGTAAGAGCAACTTTTGCGTCTTGAAACCCGAACTTCTCTAGTACATCTTCCACATATTTTGATTGATGAATAAGGATTCCGGTTGAAGATTGTTTGACCTGAAGCCCCAAAAACGTGGTCAATTCCCCAAGTGAACTCATCTCAAAACGCTTCTTCATCACCGCTTCAAACTCCTTGCAAAGTTGTTGGCTGGTTGACCCGAAAATGATGTCATCCACATAAATTTGAATAAGAACTTGATCTGGACCGATATGCTTGAGAAATAAGGTTTGATCAATGGTGCCTCGGGAATAGCCGTGATTGAGCAAATGCTGAGTAAGAGTGGCATACCAAGCTTGAGGAGCTTGATGTAATCCATACTAAGCTTTGTCTAACTTGTAAACATGGTTTGGAAGAGATGAGTTAACAAAACCAGGTGGTTGGTCAACGTAAATCTCCTCCTTGACTTTGCCATACAAGAAAGCCGTCTTAACGTCTATTTGGTATACAGTAAAGTTCATGTAAGAAGCATAAGCAAGGAAGATACGATTGGCTTCCAAACGAGCAACTAGAGCATAAACTTTTGTATAATCAAGACCCTCAATTTGTTGAAACCCTCGAACCACCAATCGTGCCTTGTTGCGCACAATGACACCTGAATCGTCTTGTTTATTTCGAAATACCCAACGAGTGTCAAGAGATTTCTTTCCTTTCGGTAGCTCCACCAATTTCCAGACTCCGAGTTTCTTAAAATTATTTAATTCATCATGCATGGCTTCAACCCAGCTGGGCTCATTCAGAGCCATATCGACAGATTTAGGCTCAATTTGAGAGATGAAGCAAGAGTAGAGACATGTATTAACCTCCCCACTTTTGCTTCTTGTTTGAATACCGTCGCCCAGCTGTCCAATGACGTTCTTTATCGGATGATCTCGCTGAATACGTGTAGGGATCTGATAACTAATATCATTGACAGAAACATGAAGATTATGAATATTAACCGCTCCATCATTTGCTGTATGATCGGTAGAAGATGAACCAGCTTTGTTTGAAGAGTCTGCTACAAACTCTTCTGCAATACTTTCCGGAAAGAGAAGTTCCATCAGATTTGAAGTTACAGCGGAAGTCTCGTGGTTCATGAACTATCTTTACACCGGAGTTAAAGGAGTAACAGTAGCATCAGGAGACTCAGAAGATTCAGAGTGAGCAGTAGGTACCAATGGAGGATCAGATGAAATCAATGGTGTTCGATAGACAACTTCGTCTTCTTCGTCATCACTAGGAATCTTCGAATTGGAAGTAGATCCTTTTTGATTATCTAAGGACACATTGAATGATTTGAAAAGAGATGTGTAGTCAAATAACCAATCAGGACCCACTCTTGCATCTGTCTCATTTCTTCAAGCCAATGAACATCAAAGGATGCTACAATTTGTTTAGTCTTCTTATTATACACCCTGTACGCAGTTCGAGCAGCATATCCAACAAAGTAACAGTCATCGGCTTTGGCATTGAATTTGGGATTGGATTCCAAGTGGAGAAGGGAGCAAGGGAAGCCAAATACTCGGAAATGACTGACAGATGGATTGTGCCCAAATAAAATCTCATACGGTGTCTTCATTCTGGCTTTGTTGATTAGCACACGATTTTGAACATAACACGCAGTGTTAATCGCCTCTACCCAGAAGAATACAGGAAGCTTGGAATCACAGAGCATCGTCCTTGCGGCATCTTTTAGAGTTCGATTTTGACGTTCGGTAACCCCGTTTTGTAGAGGTGTTCGAACAGAACTGAATTGACGCACAATCCCTTTCTCAGCGCAAAAATGATCAAGAACAGCGTTCTTGAACTCTGTTCCATTATCAGTTCGTAGCGCTTTCACTCGATTGTTAGTCTGATTTTTGATCATCACAATGAATCTTTTGATAAGGTTAGAAATTTCAGCTTTGTTAGACAGAAAGAAAACCCAAGTGAAACGAGAGTAATCATCTATCACAACAAGGCAGAAAGAGTTGCAATTGATACTTAGAACATTAACGGACCAAATAAATCCATATGCAATAACTCGAGCACTTGACTTATGGAGTTTATCTGCTTTGAAAAGTGTGGTTTTCGATGATGTTTTCCCTGAGCGCATGAAACACATTTTTCAAAGGTAATGAAATCTTTGATGGGTAGCACGCGGACCAATTCGTTCTTCGCAAGACGATTCAAGTTCTTTGCATTCGCATGACCGAGAGGACGATGCCACAACATCGCATTTTGTTCAGAAGCTTTCGAGATGAGACATGTGACATCATCAGGGAAATTTCTATTCATGTCTATAATGTAGGCATTTCCATCCCGCTTAGATCGTACAAGAATCCAATCTTCAGAGATAATAATACCAGGCTTTAAGATCAGACATTCCTTATCTGTGAAATGAGTAGAATAGCTTTTGTCACATATCTGGGATACACTCAGCAAGCTGTGCTTCAGTTCCGGAGCAAAGTTAACATTCTCAAAATTCAATACTCTATTAGAAACAGTTCCTCTTTGAGTAATTTTTCTGCCCTCTCCGCCCGCAAAAGAAACATATCATCCATTAAAAGTTTGAATGCTATGCAATTGGGATATGTCTCCAGTCATGTGCCGGGAGCAGCCGCTGTCGACATACCAAGGTCTGGCCACATTCCTCCATAATTGTCCCTGCACGATAAGTGGAATTAGTTAGATTTAGGGACCCAGGTCATCACAATCCTGGGTTGACCCTTTCCTTTTACAAGTTTTTCATTTGCTTCTTTCTTTGTTTTTGAGTTAGAGAGTAATGGAGATTGTTCTGAAACAGTTTTTGGAATCCACCGAAGGTTAGGTTTTAAAAATTTGTAATTTTGCTTTGAACCAGTGGATTTTCTACTTGATGAGTTGGAAGATCTTGTCCTTCTTTTTGACAAATTCGACTTAGGCGTAACCCGAGTTGATTTTGGCAAACATTTGTTGTTATTATGAAAAACCTGTTTATGCTTTTGAAATCTTTCAAACTTTTTGTTTAATGTTGTATTCAAATCTCCATTTCTAGAACGAGTTTTGGGAATTTTTCTAGTTATAGATCGTCCCCGAAATTCATTCTTCCCCCTTGCAATGTGTCCAGAAGTGCCACAGTTAAAACAAATTTGTTTGTTATCAGTAACTTTGGCACTGTTGTTGACAGTGTTATTATTTGCTTTTCCATTTCTAGCACATTTACACTTGTAAGAACCATCATGGAATGTAGTCACAGATGTGTTAGATGCAGAGACATGTAATTCAGGTTTAGTAGTTTGATCAGAAATAACACTATTATAAACAACATTGTTAGACTGAAATAAAATACCACCCGAAACAAAAACATTTGTGTTTGATTTTGACACAGACTCATTACTATAATTAACACCAGACTCAATCACAACATTATTTGACTCAAAAGTTTCAGTTGCATGCTCCCCCTGAACTATTGATATATCTGCATTTAAAGTAAAAACGTTAGTATGCAAAGCCTCATAACTAGACTGTATTTCCTGCTCAGAAGCCGACTTTCCATACACCATGCAAGGTTCTCTGTCAATTTCTTCTTGAGACATGGGGATAACAATATAATTGTGATTAAAAGGAGGAGGGACACTCTCAAAACCTAATCTGACTTTTATTTGATTACCGTGAGTGATATCTCTCCAGTGCGATTAACCTTCGATTAATTTTGCAATCTTTTCACTTTACCCATCGAATTTTTTGAAATTAAATTCAGCTGTTTCAAAACAATTTTTCAATGTGTCAAGTTCCATAGTTACAACAGCAAGTTTTCTTTTGAGATGATCATAGTTCTCGCATTTGTTGCTGTAATCCTCTTGCAATTTTTTTAAAGTCTTTTGTTTTATTTTCTAATTGAGTTTTTAAGGGCTTTTGATTTTTCCTAAGAGTATATCCCTCATATTTCAAGTCCTCGTTCTCTCTTTTGATTAATTCAATTTGATCTCTCAAAAACTTAACAGTTTTAACACAAGATTGAGAACAACCGAATTCACTAACCTCAAATTTGACTGGTTCAGGAGTGGTCTGAAGCATGAATGCAAACTGCAAATTCATCATCCCCTCCTCTAGATCTGCTTCCATCTCTTTATTTGCATCCTTGACTTGAGCAAGATTTGCCTTTTCAGGTCCCGAAATGTTTAGGGCCTGAACTTGATCTTCCCAGTTGAACGATTGAGCTACCATTGCCATGTTTGCAGATTGATTATTTGAAGATGATCCTCTGTTGTTGTTGTGAACATAAGTCACCGGCACCATGGTTCTGTCAGAGTTTGCTCGCTAATCTGGTTTTGGTCATTCCCGTGCAAAATGTCCTGGTTCGTGACAATTATAACAACGTAACTTTCCTTTGCTAAAACCTATCTTTTTATCTGAATTTACACCCCAGTTGTTCTTTCCAGTCTTTTTTGAGAATTGTTTAGCCCTGAATACAGCCATTGCCATTTGCCAAGTAATATCCATCTCTTCCACATCTTCAGGATGAATTTGATCAAGGTTAGTGAATGAGAGTTGTGGAGAGAGGTCTCCAGCAATAAAAGCATTGTAGCAGTTCACTAACCCAGTAGCTAGAGCCATATTTTCCTCCTTTTCCTTTGAAAGTAAATTTTGGGAACCAATTCCATGAGATTGAACTGAAAAATCTGTGGAGGGAAAAACACTAGAACCAACTTGAGATATGGTTTGAGGGATTTAAGTTTGTTGCATTTTAGGTATGATGTATGGTGTGTTTTGATGGATTGCATGAGGTTGAACTTTATGGCACCTGGTTTTGAGTATTTTGATGAGTGGTGAAGCTTGAAAAAGCTGTGTTGTTGTTTTGAATTCCAAGATTGGCTGAAGAGTACGAATTGACATGATTGATTTCTCTTTGTCTATCATCAAGATCGCAAGCTTTGATGATTGCCATTGTTTCAGACAAGCTTAAACGGTTCAGGTCTTTTGTCTTTTTAATCATAGAGACATTCATGTCCCATGATTTTGGAAGAGAATTAAGTAATTTCTTGTTGATTTCAGACCTTGTAACCATCACACCTGCGGAGCTCATTTCAGTGGTTAGTGTGATAAATCTTTGCAATTGATTTTCCAATGATTCTCCCATGACATAATTGAACATGTTGAATTTCTATCGGAGCATGTCTTGTCGGCTTTGCTTCATGTCTTCATTTCCCTCATAAACTTCTATGAGCGCTTCCCATAATGCTTTTGCTGATGTATACTCACGAAATCCTTGTGCAATTTCAGGAGACAACGCCATAGTTAGTATGGCAAGAGCCTTTTCTTGTTCTTCAACTCGTTCAAAATCGTCATCAGTGTAGTTTTCAATCTGTTTGTCAATTACCGTTCCATCTTCTAGAGTAGAAGTAGTCCGAATTGGTCCTCTCAAAATGCTTCTCCAAATTTTGAAATCTTTCATTTTGATGTATTTTTTCAATTCGGTATTTCCATTCAGGAAATCCTTCAGCTGATAGCAATCTAGGAATACGAGTAGTTGTTCCCATAATTGCATCCAAATCTTGATGAGCAGTCATGTTTTGAGATTCCATTTGAGCAATTTTCAACCGCGCACTAACACTCTTAAACACACACTCCTTAACCGTACACACTAAGCCAGCCGCACACTAAACCAACTGCTTACCGAATTGAGCTGCACACACTAAACCAGCCGCACATAGAATTGAGCCGCACACACCAAGCTGACCGCACACTGAACTTAACAGCACCCGCTTTAATTGCACACAATTAAAACACCTTAACTGTACACAACACACTCTTTTAACAGCACACAGCTTTAACCGCACACAATTAAAACACCTTAACCGCACACAACACAAACTTTTAACCGCACACAGCTTTAACCGCACACAACAAACAGCAGAAGTTTTAACCACACACAGTCAACAACACAAGTTTTAACCATACATAGTCAACAACACAAGTTTTAACCGCACACAGTCAACATCACAAGTTTTAATCAGCAATCACTTTAACCGCACACACTATTGGCAACAAACCTTCAACAGTAGGCAACAAACCTTCAACAGTTGGAGGCAAACCTTCAACAGTACTTTAATCAAAATTTTCAAAAAACAGTGAAATTTTGCACTCTCACACTCAAAAACTAACTTCAATTGATACCAAATTGGCTCTGATACCAATTGTAAGTCCCAAATCTAATGATCCAATTTAGTAATCAATGAAGTTAATTATAATAAAAAGAGATGTAGAAGAAGAAGAATTAAAAACAAGCATGCACACATTTATATTCAATAAATGTCAGGTACATCTTGAGAGAAATACAACTGCAGCCAAGTTCTTACACCAGCAAAAATCAGTACTATCTGACACATCTCAAAAGCTATATATAGTACCCCTCACACCAAGAATATGAGAGTGCTGCCAAACAGATGTGTGATGCCCCACACACATATGTGGCAACACACATTACACTACAGCTCACAGACACATAAATAAAGACATTGTCATCTCTACATAATGATGCCTAGCTTAAACCATAAAAATATGTTCTTTCATAGACCGATAGAGATCATTTCCGCTCTCAGTCGGGTTGGGTATTTACCCTGAATGGAGGAGCAATAACTTGGAAAAGTTCCAAATAGGAGACTATAGCTGATTCAACATGCGAATCATATTACATAGCAGCAAGCGAAGTGTCGAAGGAGGAAATATGGCTGAAGAACTTCATCGAAAACCTTGGAGTTGTACCGGCTATAAAGGAGCCTATGGAGATTTTCTGTGATAGTGAGAGTACGGTCGCCTTAGCCAAGGAACCAAGGGATCATGACAGATCCAAGCACATCGACAGAAAATATCACTTCATAAGACATCATGTGGAAGAAGGACTCCTCGTGGTAAAGAGGGTATCGTGATATGAGAACCCAACAGATCCCCTTACGAAGCGACTGAGTAGGGTTAAGCATTTGAAGCATGCAAGGAGTATTGGGCCGAAGGACGATATTAATTTCAACAGATCCCCTTTCCTTTATCAACTTCAGTTGTTTTTGGTTTCAAAGAACTTAAACTCACTCCAACACCTTCTGAACCAATAACAACCCCCTTCTGAATAGATCTTGTCGTTGTTTTCGTTGCTATCACTCTAGTAACTTTTTGAACAATGGGAATTGGTATTTGGGTTGAAATCACCTTGACAACTGTTTTTGCTTTATCCTCTCCTCCTTTGCTTACTTTCCCTTCCTTACCAACTAAATCCGTTTCTCCCCCCTTGCACCCCTGTGACAACAAGTGGGGCACCGGTTGGTAAGATATTTGCAAATTTTGATAGAGGAGCTACTGGTTTTGTTATTGATGCTTCAAGGGAATTGAATTTCTGAGTTAAAAATTCAAGAGTTAAACCAGAAGCTGTAGTAGACTTTGACACAATTTCCTTCAATTCGCCAAGTAAGAAACCTATCTTTTCGAAATTCAGAACATCTTCACTCTCCTTTTCTTCATTCTTAGAAATTAAGGACTGATGGCGTTCCACAACTTTCGTAACAGCCTAAGCAATGATATCAACATTCGTATGAAGAGAAGAGTAATTGGTACTCAACTCATTGATTTCTTTCGAAACATCAACCTTCATTTCTTCAAGCTTGTGATTCACATCTTCTCGCACAGTCTTGACATCTTTAACAATAGAAAATAACGTTCTTTTTCTACCATCCTAAGCTCTTTGATTTCTCCATTGAATGAGTCAGCTTGAGCCTTGACTCTGAGCTCATTTTTTTTTATCTATGATATCCATCTTGTTTTGAAGATGTAACTCATGTTCCTTGAGCATTACATCCACCTTAATACCCGAAACATAATGTTTTGCCCATGAGTCAACTTGGGATTGAAGAATAGAGTTGAGCTGTCGATTAAGTATCTTGAACTGTTTGCAAGACATTATGTCACACCCCCGAACCAGACGGCGGAAACGTTCGGGGGCTCGTGTGACTAACAATTGAATAATCATCATAATGAATATACATGAAACATAACACATTCATCACCAACATTACATATCACAACCAACATTGTTCACATCAAGTACATTGTTAAAATACATAAGTTCAAATTGTTAAAAGTACGATAAGTGATGTTACATAAAACAAAACCATACACACTTGCATATCTTCCAGCTTAATGATTACCTGAGAATACAATTTATTTTGAAAGCGGTCAACATATATAATGTTCGAGAGTTCATAAGTATATTTGAGTCCAAGTCTTTGTATCTTTCGTAAAAACCGAAAAAAATCCGATATTTTCTGTAAAATGTCTGAAAATGATGTAAAAATCAAGTATAAATGCATGTGTGAATTTCATAGTTATAACTTATATGAGTTTAGTTTAGATTCATTGTATTTTAAATAAATGATAAGTGTATATGAATAATGTTCCCAGAAAATCTGATATTTTCTGTTTTATAACAACGTCTAGATTCTCGTATCGTTAAATAAATCGTTTTGCATTGACACATTTAAAGATCTTATCTTCAAAAGGTTAAACTTTTGGTATTGAATCCCTTTATGAACCGCTATAACCATGCATGATAATGACTAGGTCGCCCGTCTTGGTATTTTTCCAAATGCGACAGAAGTGGAAAGAATTTTTGGTCTTAGCACACCTTTGTTGTGGATCTCGAGTTTATGAAGCTTATAGGGTGTGATCATGGAATAAAAACCATCTGAGAAGGAGTTTTTCATGTTAAGATGAAAGAATATACTTGTGTTTGACAATAACTAAGCAAAGATTTGAATCACTTGATGAAGATCGTTAGAACCCTAGAAAATTTTGGAGATCTTGGAGGAAAGAAGAGGATGAATTTAGAGAAGTTTGGAGAGAATTTTTCAAGTGTGTGTGTGTTTTAGATCTCGGCCGAGAGTAGAAGAGAGGGGAGAGAAGTAGTGAGGTGACTAGCATGGATGTATGGGGGTCCTTGCATGGATACATGTTGAGCAAAATGGAGGTGGTACCTCCAAAGTCAACCCCCCCCCCATTTCACGTTTTTTTGTTTTATACATGGGCCAAGATTTTGGGCCAAGAAGAAAGGGTGGATTAGTTTGGTTCCATTTACTTTAGTTAGGAGCTTTGGATCCTAAACATAAAAATTTTCGTCCCATTGGGCCCTTGGAAGCATTCACGACCCAAATAAAATAAAAGAATGGGCTTATGGCTCCCTAAGGTTAATTGGATTAATTATGGCCCAATAAGGCCCATTAGGGTTAGAATGAATCATTCTTGACCCAAATGGTCCAAAATGTTTTAGATTTATGAATTGGGTCCAATTAGGGCTTCTAATTCCAATAAAGTTGAATTGGGTGCTTATTGGTCCATTAGGCCCAATAACGAATTTCTAGTCCAATATGGACTCAAACCGGAATTCTTAGGGTTTTTAGACTCTTTTTTGAACATAATTGATGAACCTAAATGAGAATTGAGTGAGATTTACTTAGAGTGCATGTTTTACAATAGATGAACGGTTACACAGGAATAGAATTTCCTAGCTAAAATACCAGTTGTGACATCATCCCCCTGTTAAAGGGAATTTCGTCCGAAAATTCTTTTGAAAACTAGGATTGTGAAGGAAATAATAGGTGAGGGTACTTCTGCATCATCTGGTCTTCACGTTCCCATGTGAATTCCGGTCCGCGTTTTGCGCTCCATCGAACCTTCATGATTAGGATGTGACTTTGCTTTATACGCTTCACCTCCGTATCCATAATCTCGATTGGTTCTTCGACGAACAGGAGATTCTCGTTCATCTCAATCTCTTCCAAAGGTACAACAAGGGTTTCATTTGATAGTCACTTTTTCAAATTCGAGATGTGGAACACTGGGTGTACATTGCAGAGCTCGTTGGTAGCTGCAGCTTGTAAGCCACTGGACCAATCCGGGCAAGAATATTGAACGGTCCAATGTACCACGGGTTCAATTTTCCTCTTTTCCCAAATCGAATCATTCCCTTCCATGGAGAGACCTTTAATAGCAGGCGATCCCCAACTAAAATTCTAGTGGCTTTCGCCGCTTATCGGCATAGCTCTTTTGTCGGTCTCGAGATGCCTGAAGTCGAGCTTTGATTTGGACTATCTTCTTGGTAGTTTAACGAATGATTTCGGGTCCTGTAAGAGCACTGGCTGGCGATTTCCCTTTTGCTAGTTGAGTGTCACCCACCTCGGCCCATCATAGGGGTGATTTACATTTACGACCATAAAGAGTGTCGAAGGGAGCAACCTTGATGCTCGTATGGTAACTGTTGTTATAAAAGAATTCAGTCAGAGGTAAGTGGGAATCCCATGATTTTCCGAAGTCAATAATGCAAGCTCGGAGCATATCCTTGAGTGTCTAGATGGTACGCTCACTCTGACCATTGGTCTGTGGGTAGTAGGCAGTGCTCATATCTAGCTGTATTCCCATTGCCTTCTGAAGAGATTACCAGAATCTTGAAGTAAATTTGTTATCTCGATCCGATATAATAGATACTGTCACTCCATGGAGTCTCACAACCTCCTTGAGGTAGATTCGGGTCAGCTTTTCCATCTTGTAGGATTCTTTTATTGGCAGGAAATGAGCGGATTTTGTTAATCTATCGATGATTACCCAGATAACATCCAATCCGCCTACTGTCGTTGGCAATTTGGTCACGAAGTTCATAGTAATCCTTTCTCATTTCCACTCGGGTATCACTGGTTGTTGCAGTAGTCCCGAGGGCTTCTGGTATTCTACTTTCACCTTGGCGCAAGTAAGGAAACTGCCTAAGAAAGTGGCTATCTCTGCCTTCATATTAGGCCACATATATTGCTGCTTGATATCCAAATACATTTTTTCTGACCTCGGATGAATATAATATCATGTCCTATGGGATTCATGCATGACTACCTCTCTAAATCCCCCAATTTTGGGAACCCATATTCTATTCATGAAGTAGTAGTTTTCGTTGTTTTTGACTTCGAGTTCCTTCTCCATTCCTTGTAGCGATTCACTAGCGACATTTTCTAGCTTCAATGCGTCCAATTGGGATTCCTTGATTTGTGAGGATATATGAGACTAGATGGTGATTGACATGGTCTTCACACGAGGACTTGAATACTCCTTTCAGCTCAGGGCATCGACTACTATGTTAGACTTGCCTGAGTGGTATTTGATTTCACACTCATAATCATTTACTAGTTCAACCCATCTCCATTGTATAATGTTTAGTTCCTTTTGATTTAGAATGTGCTGGGGGATCTTGTGGTTTGTATAGATGGTGCACTTGGTACCATAGAGGTAGTGCCTCCACATTTTTAGGGCGAAGACCATCGCGCCCAGTTCAAGATCATGCATGGTGTAATTTACTTCATGCGTTTTCAGTTGTCTGGATGCGTATGCAAGTATCTTCCCATGTTGCATACGGACACAACCTAAACCCTGATTCGAAGCATCACAGTAAACTATGAAGTCTTCGGTTCCCTCCGGTAAGGATAGTACTGGAGCACTACAAAGAGCTTTCTTTAATGATTGGAAGGCAATTTCTTGCTTCTCGGTCCAGTTGAAAGGTACGCCTTTCAGATTCAATGTGGTGATGGGTTTGGCTATCTTGGACAAGTTCTGAATGAATCTTCAGGTAGTAGCCTGCGAGACCCAGGAGTTGGCAAATTTCCGTTGGCGTTGCCGGAATTGCCCAACTTTCCATTGCTTTGATCTTGGAGGGGTCCACGTGTATTCCTTCTTGACTGACTACATGGCCAAGAAAGTTTACGCTACGGAGCCAGAATTCGCACTTGGAGAGTTTTGTATACAACTTTTCGGCCCCCAGTTTCTAAAATCTGTCGGAGGTGTTGGCTATGATCTTATTACATCAAGAGTACACGAGAATATCATCGATGAAGACGATTATGAATTTATCAAGGAATGGGTGGCAGAATCGATTCATGAGGTCCATAAATGCAGTGGGGGCATTCTTCAGACCGAAGGGCATCACAACGAATTCGTAATAACCATAACAAGTTCGGAAAGCAGTCTTAGAAACATCCTCATCTCAAACTTTGAGTTGATGATAACCGAATCTTAGATCTATCTTTGAAAAGTAACTAGCTCCTTGAAGCTGGTCAAACAGATAATCGATTCGTGGAAGTGGATACCGGTTTTTGATGGTGAGCTTATTTAATTCTCTATAGTCGATGCACATCCTGAAGGATCTATCTTTCTTTTAAACGACAAGAACTGGAGCTCCCCATGACGAGAAGTTGGGTCTGATAAATCCTTTATTCAAGAGTTCGCTCAGTTGGCTTGATAATTCTTTCATTTCTACAGGAGCCAACCTATAGGGTGATTTAGCGATTGGAGTGGCTCGAGGCATTAGGTCAATTCAGAATTCGATTTGCCATTTTAGGGGTATTCCCGGAAGATCTTATGGAAACACATCTGGAAAATCGCACGCCATTGGGATGTTGTGAATGCTCACTTCCTCTTTGGTTTTATCCACCACGTGAGCAATGAATGCGTAGTTCTTCTTTTGTAGAAACTTTTGCGCCTTGATACTCGAGATAAGGTGAAGGTTTGCTCTAGGTTTATCTCTGTAAGTTATTAGGTTTTCGTGGTTGGGAAGATGAAGAC